GGCGAATCTCTACTCTGAACTGACTGAACTTTTGAACAACCGCCCTTTCTCTTAATCCACGACTATTCAGATTTTTTCCGGTGCCTGGGGACGTCTTTGATCAATCGCTATTGAAGCTGCGATTCCGTCGCAATGTACAATCCTTACCAGCGTACGTCTCCCACCTCATTGGATAGCATCGCTGCATGTCCTTACGAACTTAATGAACGTATTCTAACTTTCTTAGCTCCTGGTCTCTATGGCAGGCCTCCAGACTTTGGCGCCTATCCTGGTGCGCCCCCGGGCATGGGTGAGTCTCCCATTTCTTCCAATACCCCATCTGTTATCTGTTACTGACTTTGTAGCTCCTCCACCCGGTATGGTAGCCCCCGGAACCACTCCTCCCCCTGGGATGCAGCCTGCAAATGCCCAACAGCCTGGTCGTCCGGCAGGCTTCCCTCCCAACTTCCAACCTCCTCCGAACATGCCCAACATCAACTTCTCTGCCCCCGTCATTCGCCTTGGTACGTCCGGACCGAAATCTGCCACTCCAGATACGAGCAAAGAACGCGGTAGCGAGGCCCCGGGAAGACGGGCAGGTCTGGGTTCGACTAGTCTGGAATCCCAGCGTCAGAACGTTCGGGATGCGATGATGCAACTACAGCCCCCTACGCGCGAGGAAATTGTGCGGACTCTCTTCGTTGGTGGAATTACTGAGGGCGTTGGTGGTGACGAGGGTGTGGAGAAGATTCTCCGTTCGGCAGGCAATCTCAGGCGCTGGATCCGCGCTACGGATGCGGACGAAAAGCCCTGCAAGTTCGGTTTCGCAGAGTACGAGGACCCCGAAAGTCTAGGGACCGCGGTGGAAGTGCTAAAGGACGTGCAAGTGCCTGTGAAGAGACAGACACCGTCCGAGGGTGATGACAAGGAAGAGCGTGAGGTGGAGAAGAGCACACTACTGGTACGTCAGGCGCAAACTTGAGAAATACGGGAGCTAATAATGTGCAGGTTGTCGTCGATGAAAGCTCCTTGACTTACCTGGAGCAGTACGAAGCCACCAGAGGCGATCAGGACCCTGCTGAGCGCCAGGCGCGGTTAGATGCTGCACGCAGTACCCTCGCGAACGTCCTCTCTGACTTGTGCCATCCTACCTCCCCTACCCAGAAGGAAGATGTCTCGGCAATTGATCGCGAAGGAGACACGGCTATGAAGGACTCAGAAGGTCAGACTGATGGTACGGGAGCGGAGGTTGTCACCATTCCCATCACAGTGGAAGACGAACTTTCCGATATTCCTCCCGAGATGAGAGAGACAGTCGCCAAAGAGATCGCCGCCTTCCGTGAGCGCAGCAACCGTCGTGATATCGAGCGTTTGAAGAGGGAGGAAGAGATTGAGTCCATGGAGAGAGCACGCAATGCGGGCACACGATTCAACCGACTGGCATCGCCCCCGCCTTCCGCTCCGAGTGGCCCTGCGGCTGGTGCCAATGGAGTCCCACTGGGTCCACGGGATCGCAGTGTGTCTACGGCGCCTTCTGGCCCTAAGGGCTTTGGCGTGCAGATTCCTAAGGACTACCAAAAGGGAGTGTCTTTCGTCAATGGCGGTTCTATAAACGGGGCTACTACTGTTCACTTTGACCGCGAGGAAGAAGAAACAGACGCTAGTGATGAGGAGCTGGAGCGTCGCCGTCAGGAGAAAAAGGAAGCGGAACTCGAGAAGCAGTTCCTTGATCAGGAACGCCGCTGGCTGAACCGTGAACGCAGTCGGACTGCCGCCCTGGAGCGCGAAAAGAAGAGAGACAAGGAAGAGGAGGCTAAGATGCAGGAAGTTCGTGAGGAGATGGACAAGCGGTACAGGGACTGGAACGACGATAACGAGGCCGCGCGCAAGGTGGAGGACTATTATGCCGACCGGGGTGCATGGCTACGTAGCCGGGCAGGATTCCGAGCTCGCGAGGTCAGCATGGACGAGGCCGATCGTGCGGCGGAAGAACGCGAACGGGCCCGGTCTGTCCAACAACGGGAGCAGGCCCGCGGTATGGCCGACGACTTCCTTGCGCGCCAGGCGGAGGAGCTGGAGACTCGGAACCAGGCCCCTCGGGAACCTCAGCGCTTCAAGCTCTCTCTCGGAGCCGCTGCGCAAAAGGCCCAGGCTGCTACATCCCGTCGGACGGTGGCCGAGGTGGAAGGCCTGCTGGAGGACGAGGAAGAGCCTCAGGCCACGGCTCGGCGTCCTCTCATCCCGATCAAGTTCGACAGTGCCGCCGAGGCGGCTGGTCTCTCGGACGAGGAACGGGCACAAGCAGCCCGGCAACTGGCCGCCGAGATCCCGACGGACAAGGAGGGACTCTGGGGCTGGGAGGTCAAGTGGGAGTTTGTGGACGAAACGGTGGTCAGCGAGCAACTCAAGCCGTTCGTCGAGAAGAAGATCGTGGAGTACTTGGGTGTTCAGGAGCAGATGCTTGTGGACGTGGTGGAAGAACATGTTCGCAAGCATGGTCATCCCCAAGAGCTGGTGGAGCAATTGGAGGAGGTAAGCTTAACCTGCAATCTACTGATGTGTCTTCTTGTCTGTCTGGATATCATGCTAACTCTGCTACTTAGGCACTCGACGAAGAAGCCGAGGTGCTGGTCCGCAAGCTGTGGCGGATGATCATTTTCTTCTCGGAGAGCGAGAAGCGAGGTCTTTCCGGATAAATGGTGTATATCTGCTGTTGGGGTCCAGCATCACGCGGACGCTGTCTCTATACCCATGCATTCCGAAGATTGTCTGTACCTAACGCCAGCGATAGTGATTTGAATCTGATATCCGCTCTTAGGAGCAACCTGTATCTTCTTCTGTATCTTCAGCCGGTCCGCATCACCCTAATGTAAATCGCGCAAATGACCGAGTCATTTTCTGCCAGTAGAAACCCTGCAGACATTTAAGACGCGGATTTATTCTGGCCGGGCAGCGCTAGCCTCTGACTGGCGGAGAAACCCAACCCACGCGCTGGAGCAATTCCTCCGCCAATGAGGGGAAATTCCCCACACTGCGTGGAGGGGGAGGGGGTGTCTGCCCGCCTTGTATAAGTAACTTCCCCAGCCCAGTTACACTCCTGATCGCTTCAATTTTGTATTTGGTTTTCTCAATTGTCCTTCGCTACTTTCAGCTGTCTTCTGTAGCATCCAATTGCTTCTTTTGCGTGGTCACAGCCTGTGTTGACAGCCCGGAGCTTATATTGTGCCTGCCGACGGCCCCGCATTGCAACTAGATTGCGATTACCTGGAGAGACTTCTCTTTCCAACTCCAGTTCCTTTTCAGATCAATTGATCAGAATCAGCCGTCACCATGGTTAAGATCACAAGTTTCACTACGAGGGACGTGAGGTTTCCCGTAAGTCGCGCGCACATTATCTCAGCCACCTATCTGTCTTCATACCTGCTCACCACCAAATGACAGACCTCCCTCGATAAGACCGGCTCCGATGCCATGAACGCCGCAGGCGACTACTCCTCCGCCTACTGCATCATCTACACTGACTCTGACTACACCGGACACGGCATGGTACGCACACAATCCTGCTTCCCTCAGGAGGACCACTCACTAACAACCCTAGACCTTCACCATCGGCCGCGGCAACGAAATCGTCTGCGCCGCCATCTCCCTCCTCGCTCCCCTCATTGTCGGCAAAGACCTCGACGAACTCACCGCTGACTGGGGTAAGACCTGGCGCTACCTGGTCTCCGACAGCCAACTGCGCTGGATCGGACCCGAGAAGGGTGTCATTCACCTGGCCCTTGGTGCCGTCGTCAACGCTCTTTGGGATCTGTGGGCCAAGACCCTGAACAAGCCTGTCTGGCGCATCGTCGCGGACATGACTCCCGAGGAGTTTGTCCGCTGCATTGACTTCCGCTACATCACTGATGCCATCACACCCGAGGAGGCCATTGCCCTCCTGAAGGAGGTCGAGGCCGGCAAGCAGGACCGTATCAAGGAGGCGGAGCAGAGCCAGGCTGTACCGGCTTACACTACCAGCGCAGGATGGCTGGGATATGGTGAGGAGAAGCTGAAGGTCCTTCTCAAGGAGAGCGTCGAGCAGGGATACAAGCACTTTAAGCTGAAGGTTGGCGGGAACGTCGAGGAAGACCGCAGGAGATTGGCTATTGCTCGTGAAGCCATTGGTTATGATAAGGGCAACATCCTTATGGTTGATGCCAACCAGGTACCTACCTACCTTTCCACTATTCCCATCCATCATCCACAATGCTAATACCCCATGTGAAAACAGGTCTGGTCCGTCCCCGAAGCCATCACCTGGATGCAGCAACTCGCCGAATTCAAGCCCTGGTTCATCGAAGAGCCCACCTCCCCCGACGACATCCTCGGCCACGCCGCCATCAAGAAGGCCCTCCAAGACACCCCCTATGGCCCCATTGGTGTCGCCACCGGCGAAATGTGCCAGAACCGCGTTGTCTTCAAGCAGCTCCTGCAGGCAGGAGCCCTGACCGTTCTGCAGGCCGACGCCTGCCGTGTCGGCGGTGTCAACGAAGTTCTGGCCATCTTGCTGCTCGCGCGCAAGTTCGGCGTGCCGATTGTGCCCCACTCCGGTGGTGTCGGTCTGCCTGAGTACACGCAGCACTTGAGCACGATCGATTACGTGGTGGTTAGTGGAAAGAAGAGTGTGTTGGAGTATGTGGATCACCTGCACGAGCACTTCGTGCACCCGTCTAGCGTCAAGGATGGATACTATGTCACTCCCATGGAGCCCGGGTATAGTGTTGAGATGAAGGCGGAGAGCATGGATGCATTTTCGTTCCCTGGTGAGGAGGGCAAGAGTTGGTGGAGGTCGGAGGAGGCGAAGACCATTTTGGAGGGTCCCCGGATAGTATAATGGAGCGATAAAAAGGTTTTGTGTTATATATATGTGATATGAGTTTTGTTTTTATATGATGTTTAGAATTATGAGATGCATGCATACATTACATTGGTCAACATAAAGTGAGGTATATTGATATAAGGTCGCTAGTATTGACCTATGCCCGGATTCAGTTCTCCTATGGTATATTTTACACTCATAAACAGTTCACGTATATAATACAGTATTCATATTCGGGATGACTGCAGTCCCTTCATATGCCGGTCCAAATGGCGCTTCCCATCTACCGCCACTTGATACCAAAGATCTTCAGCGCCTGTCCAACACCAGGCTTCTCGCGCGCTTCTTCCAGCACAACCCGGGAATGTCCTGTACAAGTCAGTTCAACCCTCCCAAAATATCAAATCTATGAACCAAACATACCCGGCACTTCCAAAGCAAGAAGCTGATACTCCCAGTGATGCTCATTCAACGGCTTCATCATGTGCACGAACACCGTTCCGGAATTGAGCGGACCCTCGACCTATATCACAACCAATCAGTATACCACAACCAACCTCAAAGATTGTAGACGAGACGAGCATCACATACATGAAAGTTCATCTTCAGATGCTCGCGACCCAATCTATCCTGATACACGGACGTCCTATATCCCCATTAGCACCACACCTCCTGCCGAAAGGCATTGAATGTAGAATCAACATACGCGATAGGCCTATTCCTCGCCCACCTACTCCACGTATTCTCCCCATACGCCTTGATCTCCCTCCGATCACCTAGAAGATCTGTACACCGAGCATCATCCTTGATGCGCTCCACCGCCTTCTCAAACTGCCATGTCTTGCTATTCGGGGAAAAGACCTCCGTGAAGAGAAGGTAGAAGACTCCGCCCTAATCGCGACACACACATATATCAGCAATCACATTCCACATTACACACACATAGTGATTATTCAGCTGAACGAACCGTCAACACAGCCCCCGCAATAATCACCACGAAATTCACCGACTGCTGCGTCGCCCTCGCGACTTTCTCCCGCCCGCTCAACTCTCCCCACTCGTAGCGTCCATCGTCGGAGAGAACCGTCACGTTTCGTCGTTTCGGAGCGGCGCCTTGTGTCGTGGCGTATTTTCGTAAGAATAGTGATGATGTTGTTGTTGTTGTTTCTGTGGCTGTTGTTGTTGTGCTGCTGCGGGGAAGAAGACCAATGTGTTGGAGTTGGAGCCGGCGCAAAGCGGCACGGTTACTACTAGGTCGTAGTAGTAGTTGGTAGGGCGCTGTGGATGGGAGCATTGTGAGTGTTGTTGTTGTGTTGGTTGTTCCGGTTGATTTAGGTATTGTTGACTGTCATACCACAGGTCGTCCCCGTCGAAATCCAGCTGTTGTTCACCGCGGGATATTGGTATCATGAAATTATTGTCGGATGGGACTTTAGCAGAGAGAGCCGTGGATGATGGGCGTGTGGGGAATGGAGTGGGTCACGTGGTAAATCCACTTCCGGCGGTGTTTCAGCCGCGGATGTTTGCAAAGTTTCGGGTATGGATGGAGTAGTAGGGGTGGGTGTGTATTTGTAGTACGGAGGGTTAGGGACCAGGACGGGGTTTCTTTTTTGGTTGTTGGAATTTGTACCAAGTTGCTCGGGGATTTATGTCTGAGATGATATGTAAATTGAGTTATTAGATGAGATAAAGTATTCTGATAGAATCTAAAGAACACCTCATATAGTACGTCCTCAATGACAATGGCTGTGAACATCCTCGCCACTAGCGGCTGTTCTAGACGTACCACCCCCCCCGAAATCCAGACCTGAAGTTTAAAATTACCGGATCATCCTGCAAATCTGGCAGGGTCACAAAACGGGGCACTTCCCAATCCCAATCCGACCACGTTCGTCTCTCCCGCTTCGCCTTTTCGGATCTCCCTCTCCCTCTCTCTTCCTCCCCGACCTCTCCGTTGTGTCATAATCCTATTCCGCCTGCTGGCCCGCTCCTCTTCCTCTCCCTCGGGTCCTTTTCTATCATATTCAATTCGCCCATCATGAGTGCCTCCAAAACGGAGTCTCAGAAGATCTTTGAGAAGCTAAAACTCAAGCCCGCAAACAAGGCGCGCAGTGCCCCTCCCCGCCAGACTTATTATTATCATTACTATTACTCCGACCAGCCATTCTGACTCTTGCTTTTTTTGACCTCCACAGATCTGCTTCGATTGCGGCTCTAAGAACCCAACATGGTCGTCTGTGCCTTTCGGTATCTACCTGTGCCTTGACTGCTCGGCCAATCATCGTAACCTGGGCGTGCATATCTCCTTCGTTCGCTCCACCAACCTCGACCGTATGCTTCATCGCATCTCCTGACTTCCATGTCCGTCAGTGCTAATGTGATACGTGCAGAATGGCAATGGGAACAGCTCCGGGTCATGAAGGTCGGCGGTAACGAGTCCGCTACCAAGTACTTCCAATCGCACGGCGGTTCTGCCGCTCTCGCCAGCAAGGACGTCAAAGTCAAGTACACCTGCAACGCCGCCGTAAAGTACAAGGAGGAGCTCAAGAGACGCGCTGCGCAGGATGCGCAACAGTTAGTGGCCCCGGATTCTCTGCAAATCTTCCAGTTCTAATGCCTCTTGTTACGCATAGGTACCCCGGAGAGGTTGTGATTACCGATATCCCCGCTGGCACTCCTTCCAACGGCTCCAGTACCCCCGCCGCTGAGGATGACGACTTCTTCTCCTCCTGGGATAAGCCCTCCATCAAGCGCCCCAGCAACCCCCCTTCCCGTACCGGTACCCCTCCGGTTGTCAGCCGCACTGGCTCGCCCTTCCTGAACTCCGGCGCAAACGGTTCCCGCTCCAAGTCGCCCCTGTCCGCTTCCGACAAGGACAACTCTTCCCCTGCCCCTACCGCCATCCGGGCCAGCGCTGCTGTCCGTAAGACCCCTTCTACCACCACTGCGAAGAAGGGCAGCGTGTTGGGCGCCAAGAAGGCCCCAAAGCTGGGGGCTAAGAAGATCGGCGCCGCGGAAATTATCGACTTCGATGAGGCTGAGAGAAAGGCCAAGGAGGAGGCTGAGCGCATTGAGAAGCTGGGCTACGACCCCGAAGCCGAGCAGGCTGAGGCTGATGCTAAGGCCAAGACGACCACCACCGCTGCCACGGCGATCGCCTCGCCCACTCCTATCAGCCCTAGCAGGAACACCCAAGAACGCAACTCGGGCGATGTTGAGCGTCTTGGCATGGGAATTGGAAGACTTGGATTTGGACAGACTGTCGGCGTGAAGCCGGCTGCCCCGAAGAAGCCGGGCTTCGGTGCTGTTGCCCCTCGGTCTGCAGCTGATGGTATGCGACTTGCCTAGTTATTCTAGTGGTTAAGATGACGACTAACGATGTTCACAGATGAGGAGTTGAAGCAGGCCAAGTCTCGCTTCGGTAGCCAGAAGGGTATCTCTTCTGACGAGTTCTTCGGACGCGATCGTTTCGACCCCAATGCTCAGGCTGAGGCCAAGGAGCGCCTTCGTCAATTCGACGGCGCCCAGGCTATCTCGAGCAACTCCTACTTTGGACGTCCTGAGGACGATCTTCCCGTTGCCGATGATACCTACGGTGATCTTGAAAATGCTGCCAAGGACTTTGTGCGTCGCTTCGGTATCACCGCGGGTGATGACCTTGAGAACCTGACGCAGCTCGTCGGGGAGGGCGCAACTAAGCTGCAAGGTCAGTCTATACCCATTGTCTTCGCGGCGTACCCTTACTCACAGAATCTTTAGGTGCTATACGCAGCTACCTGAACAGCTAGATATGTGCGCGACAACTCACTGATAATCTTTCAATTCTTACCTCCGGCTTATCCTGACCCTTGTTAGCCAGCTTTCTCCTCGATCTCCTTCATCTGTGGCGTTTCTGTCTCCGTCTTCTATTCCCCTGATTAGTACCCTCATAAACAGAACTTTTCGACAACATGGCTGGCGCAGTGCTCTCCGTTTGCTTAGACTAGCTGGGTGCGCCAGGTGCCGTTTTCTGAAGTAACGGTTCAGGTTGGTATCGCTCGCATCCATGCTGCTCTTCTGCGTTAGTTGAAATCATTAATTGCCTTCCACTGAACATGTTTGGCTGCTTTGAATCCTTGTATATTCGTCGTTGAACTTAGTAGGTTACGAGTCTAGAACTGAATTTGTTAATGAAAAGCCAACTCCATTGCTTCAACATGCACGCAATAAGTATGTTGTTTACGTCGAACGTCTTCCGCGGTATACTGCACAGGCGCACCTTCCCTAGCCTCTCCTTCCATCTTCATCCAACCAATGCCTCATATATAACCACTTCATCTCGAAGATGTCTACCAGCTCCCGTCCTCGCTGCCTCATAACCCTAATATCCATACCTACCGCACACCCTAAACACCTTCATTCTTAATCCTCACCCACCCCATCTAAACCATCATGACCAGCCAAATCCCCCTCGACACCGAAACACGAACCACTTTCTACACCGGAAGAAGAACCCCCATCCAAACCGAAGTCCCCCTCCGACAAGAAACTCCTCCTCCTCCCTCTCCTCCTCCTCCACCACCACCAGATTCACCCACCACCACCTACCCCAAGCCGAGAGCCCCCTACCCATCCTGGAAAATCAGCCACGTCTGGTTCCACCTTCCCCCCGGCGCCCAAGACTTCCACGACAACAGCTGGCCACCATACCGGCACGGGCTCTGGATCGAGCACGGCCCCGCAGGCCGCGGCCACCTGCACCACGTCGTCGGCAATTCCTCTGACCGGGAAGGCCTAATATACGCAGTCAAACACCTCAAGCACCCCATCACCAATGAACCCACGTACGCGGGCGAGACCGTCATCGGCTATCTCAGCCCGGAACGCTACCCGGATCTCAAGCAGGCGTTCTTGACCTGTCAGCCTCCGTTACAGCAGAAGAAATATAACAGGCGCACGGATGTCACGGAACCCTTCGGGGTTGATGAGGATGGTCAGACGGTGTTTTATAGCCAGTATAGGCTGGAGAATTTCATGTTTCCGCCGTTGAAGCTGGATCGGTATTTTGTTAAGTTGCAGTTGTTGGAGAAGGTTAGGGAGATGAAGTTGAGTAGGTGCCAGGCCGGGGATTATGTCGTTCTTACTGGGTTTTTTCCGGCTGAGGAGTGGGATGAGCCTGAGGAGTTGGGGGTGGGGTTGGGTTCTGCTGGGGAGGGGGGTGGGTGATGGGTTGGTGGATTATCTTTTGGTGGATTATATAGGTTTCTGATGTGTTTGGTTCAGGTTGGACTGGTTTGGTGATTTATCTTGGGTTGTGGGGGAGGCTCCTGTTTGGGTTGGGTTATACCTGTCATTCGCCATTTGCTGTTTTGTTTCTTTGGATGACACTCATTCATGTGTGCTTTTGTTTGCTCGGCTCATAGCGTAGCTAGGATAGATTGCTGAATATATATTCTTTCATCTATCCACTTACCCCTCATGGCTTTGATATAGATGTGGATGTTGCCTGACTGTGCACTCATCATCACAGGATAATTGACTCAATCCTGCCAATAACTATCTACAATAAATAGTATCCGGGGTTGAACCCTTCCCAACGCCCAAACCAGCGGGGAAACCAATACGCCAGACCTCCTCCACCCTATACCCAATACATCTCTATCCCATCCACAATCCTATAGTTGAATATACAAACTCACAAAACTCCCACTTTTCACATCCATCCCCATCAAACAACCCCCCTATAAATCGCATCCGCCACCCTCCCAACCTGCCACATCTCCTTAACATCATGCACCCTAACAATATCCGCACCCCCCGCAACACTCGCCGTCACCGTCGCCGCCGTCCCCCAAGTCCTATCCTTGGCCTCCTTCACCCCCGTCAACCTGCCCACGAACCTCTTCCGACTCGGTCCCATCAACCACGGGAAATACTCCAGTCCCTCGATCTCCGTCCTTAACTTATTCAACTCCCTCAAGATAGTCAAATCATGAGGTTCGTTCTTCGCGAACCCTAACCCGGGATCTAGTATCATCCTCCACCGTCTAATCCCCGCTGCTTCTGCAGCGGCGACCCGTTCGAGGACTTCATTGCCTACATCTTGGATGATTCCGTTGGGGTAGTCGGTTAATTTGGTCATTGTGGAGGGAGTGCCGCGCATGTGCATCAATATGACTGATTTCCCGGTCCTCGCCATGGTAGGCAGCATCTCGGGGTCGAGGAGACCCGCCGAGACGTCGTTGATGATGTCCGCGCCGGCGGCGCAGGCTTCTTCGGCGACGCGAGCTCGATACGTGTCGATGCTGATGGCAATGTGGGCGGCCTCTGGGATGGTGGTTCGGATGTGTCTGATTGCGGGGATCACTCGGGATAGTTCTTCGGATTCGCTGACGGGGGTGGAGCCTGGGCGGGTGCTTTCGCCGCCGATGTCGATTATGGTGGCGCCGGAGCGGATCATGTTGTGCACGGTTGTGGTTAGGGTGCTTAGGTCGGTGGGGGAGTGCGTGCCGCCGTCGGAGAAGGAGTCGGGGGTTAGGTTCAGGATGGCCATTATGTGGGTTGGGCGGGAAGGGTTGGTGCTGTGGATTGGGGGGAAGATGGGAGATATGGGGGTTGTTGGGTGGGGGGTGGGAGATGGAGGTGGGAGGGTTTTGAGGTGGTGGAGGTAGCTTTGGGAGTGGCCCAGGAAAGGGGGGCGTTCGTGGGGGATTAGTCTGTTGGTGGTTAGTGGTGATTGGGAATAGAGAGGGGAAGGGGGAGGACGTACTGGCAGAGGGGTCGGAGGACAAAGTCGCGCTCGAGCATCAGTTTGTGCGGGATGTCGAGACGTTCATGCGTGAAGATTTGCTCGTCGTACAGGAGGATGTCCAGGTCAATTGAGCGTGGGCCTTTGTCGATGAGCTTCTTCCGGCCGAGGCCTAGCTCGATGGCTTGCAGGGTGTCCAGCAGTTCCATGGGGGATAGGCTGGTTTCGACCTGTGGAAGGTTAGGGTTTGATGTGTTGAAAATGGGAGTGGGCACGTACCTCGCACACTCCATTGATGAAGGGGTCCTGGTCGAGGACGTACATCGGGGCTGTCTCGAAGAGGGAGCTCGTCCGCTTGATTCGGATGTTGGCGCGCTCCAATTCGCGGCAAGCAGCCTCGATCATATCAATGCGGTCTCCGACATTGCTGCCAAAGGCAATGAATGCCCGATGGGTGGAGGGATGTACTCGATCCATGCTGGGGTTGAATAGATGTGCTCGGCTGGTTGTAAGCTTGCGAGTGTGACACAGGGGCTTTAGGATTTCATGGCGGGATCTCCTTGCATTGATGCCGCTCAATGTGCCTCTGTTGAGACTACTGGTGTGCAATGGCTCTGATAGTGAGTTAGTCCAGCTCTAGATACTACACATGCGAACCTTGTGAGCCAGGTCCTATCCACAAAAAGATCTATTGTCCTCATGAATAGGGTGGTCACCAATGGTAGCGAACAACGAGCAGGTTTTGTAGCAATTGCATATATAAGAAGCCGTACCAGATACAGATGAGTTTCTATAAGAGTTAGACTGTGATATCTCTAATCTTATCAATGAAAGACCTGCCTTGCTACCAAACTGCCAAATGATCTGCTAAGAATTGATCCGCCTCTACATGGTTGAGAATGCAGCAGGCTTGTGCTGGGGAACCGACAAGCGCGGACAGCTGATGTCAAGGCGACAGCATTGCTATGCCAGGTCACCGTTGGCTTAAATCTCATACTTTCTGCAGCAGCCACGGAGCTCAGAAACGAAGTGCTGAGGCGAGATCTACAGCGAATCCGGAATGAAAATACGTCATGCGCGGGCCGTGCTACTCCCGTCACCTGACTCCGGCTGTGACAGCCTGAGGCGTGAACAACAACTGTTTACTAGCCACACTTCACCAGCCACACGACTAATCATAGGCTAACTGAGAATAGGCAAGGTGTGGTAACCCCGCAACGGGAATCAGGTGGTTCGGCTGGAAACTCGGGGTAGTCAGCCGTCAATAGCCTGATCCATCACACGCCCTGGACCGAGGCTCGTGCTGGTCACTCTTTGTCCTCGGCTTCTCCAGCCCTGCACACTTACTCCTTATAACTGTGCTTGGATACCCTGGGTCTCCGCATCCCTTTTTTACTTGCTAACTGACATATTACTACCTTGTACCTAATTTTTGGTCTCCGATCCACCTGCCATCCATCTATCGTCTCTTCATATACTCCAAAATGGCTTCTCCGCGTGAGTTCCTCGCCACCGCCTCTTCATATGCACTATGCAATGCGCCGGCATCCTCGGGGATATTGAATGCTAATGAAATTCTGCTCTTGTAGAAAAAATCCGTACTACTCTTACTGATCTACTCAAGATCAACCACCCCGTCTTCCTGGCGGGTATGAACGTGGCCGCCGGCCCCAAGTTGGCCGCCGCGGTCACCAACGCGGGTGGTCTGGGAGTTATTGGAGGTGTTGGATACACCCCCGACATGCTCCGTGAGCAGATTGCGGAGCTCAAGAGCTTCCTGAATGACAAGAACGCTCCCTTTGGTGTGGATCTGCTGCTCCCCCAGGTCGGTGGAAGCGCCCGCAAGACCAAGTGAGACACCCATGTGATTGTATGACAAACGGAAACCCAAGATGCTAATCCGCTTTCTGTTGCTCAGCTACGACTACACTAAGGGCAAGCTCAACGAACTTGTCGACATTATTATTGAAAGCGGCGCTAAGCTCTTCGTCTCTGCCGTCGGTGTGCCCCCCAAAGCTGTCGTGGACAGACTCCATGCTGCAGGCATCCTGTACATGAACATGATCGGTCACCCCAAGCACGTCCAGAAGTCCCTCGATGCCGGCGCGGATATCATTTGTGCTCAGGGTGGTGAAGGTGGTGGTCACACTGGCGATGTTCCCACTACGATCCTCATTCCTACCGTGGCCAAGCTGTGCCAGGGCAAGAAGAGTCCCTTGACTGGTCTGCCCGTGCAGGTGGTTGCTGCCGGTGGCTTGTACAATGGCAACTCGGTGGCTGCTGCCTTGATGCTTGGCGCTTCGGCCGTGTGGATTGGTACTCGCTTCATCCTGGCTGACGAGGCTGGTGCCCCCAAGGCTCACCAGGAGGCTGTCCGCACTGCTGGCTTTAACGACACAATCCGCACTATTA